AGTGGCAGGCCCTAAGCTGTCATTATTGGAACTATGCCAGGTTCAGAGTCCAACTCTCATATTTTCTCTTTTTTTACCCCCAACATTTCCAGAATAGTTACCTCTGAAGGCCATGTAGGGTGTCCATGGATGGGTCATAGGTCTCAGTAGTTAGGCTACTGTTGCACAGGTACAGACAATATCACATGTGCTAACTCCTAGTCTTGCCAACTGCAGAAGACACTGAAGACCATTTCTCATGATACAGGATATGCTTCAGTTTGTATTTTCTACTTAGTTAAATGAATATGTTAGGTGTTGATGGTTTTTACTGACAAGGAGGGAGAGAAGGCGGTAGCCTCAGGGTAGTTCTAATTTCCCACAAAGGGAGAGACTTTCACTGGTGCCTCCCCTGAGCTCATCAGGAAAAGCAAATCACCCTTTTGATGTGTCCATGGACCTGGTCTTGCAGGCCCACGTGGGACATGTAGCAGGCTGTCCACCATGGCTCTGCTATTCTCACAGCATGGCCAGATGAAATATATCCATGGCTGAATGGACCAATGGACTTGTTACTGTAACATGAAGTCAACTTATGCATAAACCCATTAGGAACCAGTTAAAAGTTCTTTTCCTGGGAAGCCACATTCTTCTGCTAGTTGTAGTATGTTGGACAGAGGCTGCATTCCCTTACACTGGAATTTCCTGTACTAGCACTGCACAGGAGTGGGTTTATTTTGTAGTCCTTGAGATTTCTGAGCTTCATAAGTTTCACAGCCTTTATGCACCATGAAGCAAAGGTCTGGTTTCTAAATGAGGCATTGCAGAAAGGATGAGCATCTGCTGACTTGTTGGTCTTCTGAAAACTGACGCCCTCAAAGATCAGAGGTGAACCAGTCTGGGATCATTTCACTGAAGCATGAGGTATTAGTGACACAGCTTGTATGTAGCTCACATATGCTTTTTGCACTAATTTTTAGAGCTAAAAGGAACATTTCCTTTTTCTGTTGTCAGTTTAGACCCTAGTGTACTGCTGAGAGAGCTCATGTTGCTTCTGGTTTTGCAGGAATATGGTGGTTACCATCTGTAAAATACTAAACTAGACCAAGTCATGGGCATCCTGCTTCAACATTTCCCACCCTAAACAAGCTTGTCATCTTCAGGGCTTGTGGGCTCTGTACCATAAAGGCAATGTTATAGGTTTACTTTGTGATGAGAGCTTTTTAAAGAGGCCTGTGGAATCTGTCTTTTCTCTAACTCATGTGACTCCAGCCCAGCTGTGCTATTCCCCCTTCTTTATTTCATCAAAATTGCATGTCATATATACAGCCCCCAATTTTACAGCTTTATTGAATTGGAGACAAGTTATGTAAGGCTTTCTGCATTAAAATGTGTAATAAGTTACATTATATTGAGTTTTGTGGAAGAGTGGAAAATATCTGTTTGGTTTTGGAAATACTTTATAGAGTTATTTAGATGCCAAGTTTTTCATTGTTCTACTAATGTCTTCCTGATCTGCAAGGTTTTAAAATATATGGCTAAGAAATTTTGCACTGTGGTGTTGTCAGGTCTCAGACTTTCACAGGAAATAAAGTGGCAGATGTGATTCTGTAGAACAGGTTTCCCAAAATTGCCCCAGCCCAATGCTCCACCCTTCTCTTTTATGCACTTCTCCACTTTAAATTGCTCTTACTGAGTCAGTTTGCCAGGGATTCTGAGTAACTGGTAAAGTGGACTGAAATGTTCAATATTTCCAGTATTTGTACTTTATGAGTAATCCACATTATTGGTTTAGGATTTTTTCAACCTAAGGATAATTTCTACCTTAATTATATGCTAACTAACATTTTTGTTTTGTGGAGGATTAGTATTTGGTAAACTGTAGGTCTACCTCAGCTATCTCTTTCCTATACCTGCAGCCCAGAAAACCAATTGGATTTTTTTCTCCAATGTGACTCCTTGGCTTGCCAGCAGGCCAAGATGAATTTTCAGAATTGTCACAAAGTTCTACAAATAACCAGTCAAACTTCCAGCACCTAAACCTTCTCAACAATGTCTTTCTTTTATATCCTTACCTTCTTTTTTATTAAATTTGCCTTGCTAATCAATATGTCCTAAACCTGTGAAGTGTCTTGGTGGGAAATTTCATCAGCATCCCCCTAAAGGAACACTGCTCTGCTCTTATGTCCTGCTGCATATCCCTGTGAAAGAGGATGCCAGAGCACTGACTGATCTCATCTCTCCCAAGCACTAATTTAATTTGCAAAGTGTTGTGGTTTTTTTTCCTAAAGTGTGTGAACTTTCCTTACTCTGTGTTCTTGAAACATGAGTCAATGCTCTGTTTTAGTCTGTGTGGCCTCAGTATGTATCCTGCCTTTGCATAAAAGCTTTCAAAGCTGTGTGGCAAAGATGGAAAAGAAATAGCTGTTCAAGCAATGAAATTAAATTTTCTATGGGTGCTACTGATCAGAAGTTTGCAGTGGTTATTTACCACTAACACTCTTATTGGTGCTAATGGCCAAGTCACCACACTTGGATGGAAGCTCTGTCTCGATCACTGAAAACTAACTGAAGGCAAAGCAGAGCATTGGGAAACAGCTGAGCTGTGGTGCACTGCTCACTGCAGGTACAGAGCCATGTGTGCTGAAGCAGGGAGCTGGTGAGATCCTGCTATGTAAATACAAACAGAACCATGATAGTTTATAACTTTCATTGAATTCTTATGTTTTTTTTCTATCCAAAATTCATTCTTATTATTTGTGTTTGAAACCATCTGGCCTTTAAATAAAGAGTTAACCATGTTCTATGCATTATCCTGGCCAAGCTGGGGTTTGAATTTCTTGTTTAAAATTCCCCTTGTTTTATAATTTCAGCTGAATAATTTTAATGACTTCTTGTTGTGAGCCCTGGTGCTGTACAGTAGGCTGCACATCACTGAGAAGCTTCAGTCTAGAGGTAGCTGCACTTCAATGCCAAGGGAAATAATAACTGGATGGATGGAAAGCATCTGGGATTGATGTGGTTTAAAGGTGCTGTTCATGCAAGCTATTATCAAAGAGGGAGTTAGGGATGAGATTCATTCTTAAAATGCAGGTGCTCTCATGCTTTCTCTGACAGATGTGTTCCAACAGTGTTTTGAATTCTGTTTAAATTTTGAAAGAGCTAAACCTTCAGGCTCTTCTCTTCCTTTCTTAAATTCATTTCCCTGTTTAGATGAAAAAGAAACATTTTGCAACTTACTTTAAACTTTCTTCAAAAGAACTGCTGAAAAAGGAACATTTCATGTGAAGCACATAAGCTATAAATGAGTGTTAAGCACAGGAGAAGAAGTGATTTTAAATGTGCTAATGGACAGACATTACACTGTAGGAATTTACCTAAGAGAAAACCTGAGATGTGGAGGGCCTGCCAGGTGAGGATAAAACCCCAATAAATGAACCAAATGATAGAAAAGTATTACCACAGTAAAGAGTTGTATATGTGAAATAAATACTGAAATGGGGAAATAGTGCCAGCAAAGATACTGAAAGATGGAGAACATTTTGGTTAAGTGATGCAGGAGCATGTACACAGAGCCCATATTGAAAATGCCAGCTCTTAGGGAGGGATATCTCTCTCTTTTGCTCTCTCCCTGCCTCATTTTGATATTTTTTCCCCTGCTCATGACAGTAGAAGAGTTTACAGCATTAATGGGCAAAGCTCCTTCCACCTAAATGTGCCACAGACTTTTTCATAGTGCTCTGTCACACGTTTTCAGGTGTGTACTTACCTCAAAATTGCCAACAAGCTCTTTTTCTCAGATAATTTTTGATTAATTTTGTAGGTCTCCTGGCTGGTGGTTGGTTTCCCTGGCTGTATGAAAGTAACAAAGCAAGTGGGTTGAGGTTTGCATGATTTGTGAATATGAAGGGGAAAGAAAAGGAACAGACTAAGAAAAAGAAAATACCCCAAAGGAAAGAAATAATGGGCAATATATTTCCTTTTGAACTTTTTCAAATCAGACTCTGGAAAAGGTGTCATAAAGCCCCTAGAAATGAGTAACAGCACAGGGACAAAGAAAACTCTGTTACAGATGTCCCTGCAAGTCTATGAACAAATTGTTTTTTCTAAATAACTCCAGAACATTACATGGCCTTAACAAGTTTCCCAGGACAGGAACTCCTAGTTTATTACTTGCTCACATTGTCATCAAAAATTAATTTTGTCCCTGAAAGACAAATTGGCTGGTAGCTTATGAAGTTAAATGGAAAGAACAAGTGAGCATCTGTTTCTTCTGCATTTTGTCTCCTTGGTGTCTTACATATAAATGAATCAGAGTGTTCAAACTTAAATTAAGATCTTTGGCTAGATAAACAGTTAAAACTGGTTCCCATAGCTACCTCTCACACATAGCTGTGATTGCATTATAATCCCCTAGTAATCAGGTCTAAATGAAAGAAAGATGATAAGGGTGCTATTTTCAGTTTTCAGTACTGATTTTTATTAGCTCTCAATCAGATCAGGACTGCTTTGCCTTTCATCACATTGTGGCTGTGTTTGTGGAATCATTAGAGTAATAAAGTGTAAATCTTACCAAGGTGCATTTTTCTTGAGGTGTTTTATATAACAAAAATCTGAAGATTACATTGGCAGGTACAGGAAAGATTTGTTTCTGCAACTAAAGTGAGGATATAATGTATGCTATATTCATTTATTCTTTACCCAAGCGAATATCTAATGAATTACCTTGCCGAGGTAAAAAAAAAAAAAAAAATCCAAAGAATCAGCCTGTCTGAACATGGTCCTAATATACTGTATATTGCCAGTACTGAGTTTAGTAGTTTTTTTAATTTGCCTTATTATCTTGTATCATATCTCTCCCTGTGCATTACCATCCACAAATGAATTACAGGCAGAACCACAAGCACTGCTATTACCAGCCTGCTGTTTTTAGTAAACTAGTGCAGCCCAATAAAACATCATGTTGCAGCAATATATAAGTATTTATTGTAGACTAAATTTCAGCTAAACAAAAGCACACAGGGAGGCCTGATCCTGCTTTGAGGAGAGGCAGTGGCACAGCTCAAGTTTGGCTCATACATCGTCTCACCTGCATCCTTGATTTGCAGTATCCTTTGAGGTAAATTTTACTTAATGACTTTACTTTTAAATTGTTCCTGACTACCAAATTTAGAAAAGACTTCATCCAACCTCCAGAGGTGTTCCTGGGTGTTTCTGCAGGCAGAGCTATCCTTTAGCAAAGAAATTGCTTTGTGTGGTGTTGTAGGATTGTTCACAGAGTTTGCAGGTGTGCCCCACATTTACAATTAACTCCCAGTTTAATACTGGAGTGATTTTACTTTCCCACAGACTTTTTTTTTTTTTTTATAATATCTGGTGACTGTTACTGTAGCATAGCTATTAAAATGTCTTCCCATTTTAAATATTTGAATTTTATGTATTCTGTATTTAAATGAGTAGTAAACTATCCAAGTAGTACAGTGTTAGATAGCTACAGGCATACACACATTTGCAGGAGTATCAGGTAGCAACAGCAATTAGTCAGAAAGCTGAAAAAGGATACACAGACAGCTTTCTGATTTTCTGATTGATTTTAATGTACCTGATGTAGGTTGGATCAATGCCTGATATTGACCTTAACATGTTTTACTTACTTTTCTATAAAAGGTGGATCTGTTCAGCCCTCAAGTAATGGTGTTCACATAGTTAGCAAAGTCTAATATAGCCTCTGATGTTAGGACATGGAATACTTTAGGACAGGGACCATTTAAGGTATACAAATTTATACCTGAAATAATTAGGTACTGGCATTCACATCAGGCAAAAAAAATAGATAAATCAATTCATATGATGTTATAAATATGGAAACAAAATTTATGCTTCAATTTTTCATCTGTTAAGACTTCTAAGATGCAGAGAAGTTCTCAGTTGAAAATGATTCATTTCCTACTAATATTTTAAACTGAAAAAAGCTCAAATTCCAGTGTTCTTTCAAGGAAAATAGGCAAAGATAGTATTTTGGTCAGGAAGATTTTATGTGTGTTTGTGTGTTGACACACAAATGTAATATGTCTGGAAGATGTTGCTATGGCTAATGGCACAAAAGAGAGTAAATTGCAGAGCCTGATTATCAACAGATAACAAGACATTCTGTATATAAATAAATGCTCAGCATCAAAACCCATTATTGGATTACCTATATAATCATGTTTTAGGCTGTAAGTCTGTGCTGACAAATGAACACTTTTCATTTGGCTCAAGGTCCTCATCAGCAACGGAACTAATTTTACATTCTCACCCATTAAGTGAATAAGATGTGGAAAAAGCTGTCTGCTTTTTGAAGTGTAAATTTGCTGCTACAGGCTGTGCAGACCAAAGCTCTTTTGAAGCAGTGAAATGAGATCATCTCTAGGGACATGTGAACCTGACAAAGTTTAGGTCATTTCTGTGGAAGGTACGGTGGGGGTTGGGGGGGGGAGCCATTTGGATGTGGTTTCAGTAGTAACTTATATGGGGCAATTTGGAAGATGCAGAACTTTACAAGCTCTTTGTTCAAATTTGTGAGAGGACTTGAACTAGAAGAACAGATGCAAACTTTCAGCCCTCAGAAAGAAACCTCCATAAACATCAGAACTGGGTAGCTAGCCAGCACAATTTGGGAGTGCTATTAAGCAGACTATGTGCTGAGCCTCTCCTGCAAGTCACTTTTATGGGTTGGATGCTTCCCATGCTTTACTCTACACACACACACACGAATACAAATGGAGATCCAGGACCTAAAGTGGGCCATTTTCTTGAAAAGGCACTGGAGGTGAAGGAACTAGACCATCACATCTCACTTTCACCCTGGGAAGTCCCCCGGAGAGAGGAAGATCACAGGTCTGTACCTCATTTATGGGGTTGACAGCCCCATAAATTGCAGCATAGCACCAGCTTTGCCCTCTGGAAGCCCCTGGACAGGGGCTGTGCCTGTGAAAGACAGGCATGGTGGGCAATGAGGGCAGTGGGGGCAGAATGGGAAGGGAGAGGACTCCTCAGAGCTCAGTAAGGATCCCCATGGTCAGCAATTGAAGGGGGCAGGATTGCAATAAGCTCCAGGGAGCAGTGTTGTGATGCACCACTGTTCAAGCAAGGGCAATGAAGATGTTGCTGACATCAGCTTAGAAGAGTCTCATGAAAATCATTTAACTTTTTAGATTTCCAGACATATAAAGCAGTGTTTAACCACTGTTTAAGATCATGACAAAAATATCCCCAGGCTTTGTTGTGTGCCTAACCACAATGCTTTTCATTTGCAAACCAACAAAAAATTCAGGTAGGCTTGACTGTTCATTTTTTAATTTGATTCCACTCCCTTCACTTTGTTTGCTCACTGTAGAACGTGCTTGCATGGCTTAGGCTTTTGTAATTCGTGCAGTTGTTTTATATGCCACTTCCTGATTTCTTGTAGCCCACCAGTGATCCATGGACCACACGCTAAGAAACACTGAAAATCCTGTACTCACAGTGCTGTGTGGGTATAATGAAACTAAAGGAATTATAGGAAAGGCATATTTGCGTGCAAAAATAAACCTAGCCCATGATATGTCCCTGTGTAAAATGGGTTAGTTAAATCTTAATCCAAGCACTTTGAGCATATGGTTTTGAAATTGTTTTTCTAAAAGTAATGGCTATCAAAGAGTAAAGAGGTTTGTCAGACACTTGTATAAAGTGACAACTTTTCAGAAAATATCCTCTAGGCATACAATTGCACTGCTTTCACCCTTGGTGTTCTTTGGCCAGAGGTACTAGTATTGTGGAGGAACATCTGACCACAGAACTGAACTGAAATTTAGGTGTGGTTGCAACCTCTGTGGAATCTTCATCTGAAAATTAAACTGAAATAAAGGCAGCTGAAAGTAAGCTTTTCACTTCCTCCCCTGAGCTCAGCTTTCCAGCTTAGCTGTTGATGGTGCCATGCCCACCACCAGGCTTCATTGTCTGCTTGCCTGGACGCATAGACAGAGGTTTTGGCCCTTGGAGCAGCCCCTCTGGAGTCAACATCAATTATGCAAGACCTCCCCTTCCCTTTCCTTATCAAAATAAACCTATAAATACTTCTCTACTTCACTGGCATGTTATGAGAGTTAATGAGTTGATGTCTGCAAAATACTTTCAAAATATGAAATGGTGTGGAAGTTCTGAGCACTATGTTGTGAAGGTCTCCCTTTCCCCAGCTTAAGGCAGAATGAGTTAAAGTTAGCCAAAGGGAATAAGAGAAACAAGAGTGACTTTATGAGTCTACCAGGGGAAAAGGAAATACTGGAGAGAAAATAGACCCATTAGCAAATGAGGAAGGAGATGAAGTTAATTATGATTTTAAAATGGATGAGCATCACAGCTGCATTTTTTTTAAAGAAAAAAAATCAGTCCTGAACAAAAATAATAAGGACTGACAATTAGGAAGAAGTGGAGGCCTTGTGAAAACAGGGGTTTGATTAAAAAGTGAGGGGGAAAGAACTTGTAAAACATGCAAATGTGTAAATGAGCAAGTCTAGATGAAATTCATCTAAAGAACAATGAGAAGCTAATGGATTTTTCCAAATATTTACCCATGGCAGATGAGGAAAAAGTCATATCAGGGGGGAAAAAAGCAACAATAGCCTCAAAAAAAGCTAATGATATTTGGAAAAAGGATGCCAGTGATTACCTGCCAGTAAGTATTCATCTGTACTCAAAACAAGAAGCACAGCTAGAGTGAACAGGCAAGCAACATGTCTGTTGGGTTATGAAGCCAAGCATCACATTTTTTGGGTTATGAAGCCATACTACACAAATGAGGTATCATTATAGAGTTTCAAAATACACCAATGAGAAACACAATACCTGCTGGGTCAGATCCAGAATTGCTGCTTTGCTTCTTTACACCAGATCTATTTGCAACATCTGAACTTGAGTAAATAATTTGACAGAGTTACCTTGCAAACTTGTGTTTGAGAAAATAAATCCAAATTGGCTTTGATAGGAAGGGTGTCATTTGGGCTGAGAATGGCAGTATGAGGCCACATAGAAAGTGATCTGAAGACAAAAATTAAAATAGAGTCTGGTTGTAAATATGTTATGATTATTTCAGCATAAAGAATGATTAAGACATAATTATAAAAAGAAAAACAAGTTACGGTGTGAGCAGCAGAACTAGGACATCCTGGTTCCTGATGTATTTAGGTACGGTGGCTACGTGGCTGATAAGTTTCCTCTGTGACAGCCCCTCTGAGGCAGGGGTGGGCTGGCACTTCAATGGGGGCATTGGTAGGGTTGCACTTCATGATATCTGTGATAGTCCTGTGTGTTTGAGCCCTACACAACCTCCAAATGCAACTGGGGTCAAAAGGCAAACCTCTCCAGAGGTTCTGAGGGAACTCAGAGACAGTGATCTCGTTGGCCACAGCCATTTACTGGGAAATCAGACTTTGAAATCTTGAAGGAGGGCAAATTCTGACTGAAAACTGGAATGTCACAAATTAACAAAATGCTCTGAATTTTTAGACCCTGCCCTTCTCCTTTCTCTTGTTTCTACAACACTGTATCTATATCTATATCCTATGGATATAGAACATAGAGACAATAGCAGTAATGATCTTATTTTCATACCTACTTCTCAGCTATTACTTTAGAAGCTTTCCATCCTCCCCTGGCAAAAGGAAAAAAAGGAAAAAGCATTTTTGCAAGGTGCTATTTGTTCCTGTTTTAGTGTGAATGGTTAAGAAAATAAGGAGTTTCTATACTGATTATTTTTGAGATATATTATTCTTTAAAGCCAGTCTCTGACTGTTGAACATGTACAACCAGCTATGATCAATAAAATTGCTTCTTGCAGAGAATGATGCTTACAGAACTTCAGACAGGTTAAATTTGCCTGTTCTAGGGAGGGGATCAAAGCTCACTTACTGTTTATGATATTCAGCCTTCTGCTAGGTCTACAGAACCTCCTGAATATCATGTCTGTGTCTCTGTTGCTGCACTGGGAACTGAAGTGAGGACAAGGGCACTATTTCTTGTCTGTCATTAAAAAGCATCACTGCATTGCATGGTGCATCCAATAGATTTTTATATTAGAACAGAAGAATGAACTCTTTTTAAGAATAATATTATGGTGATTCCTTTTCATGTCCAATTACTATTTTCTACTTGTGAATAGCAGATTTTTTAAAAGCTTCTAGCCTTGTTATATTTCAAATTTAATAAAAAAATGTGTCCTACATGGTTTCACACCAGTAGAGAGGTCACAACACACATGGACTGAGAAGAAATCCCCCTAAACAGCAGGAAATGTGTAACACCTCAAATATGGTTTTGAGAAAAGTGACTTAGCAGTTTTCATAGCTGTAAAGCTGGCTCACAGATACATGGAAATCTATGGAGAAATATACTTCCCTGTCTACCATCAGGATTACAGAGCCCAAAAGGGAAAGTGCAAAAGGCATGGTAAGAAACCAGAGCCAGCATATGTTCTATAAGAACAGCAAGGCTCAGAGAGCCCAGCTACCATTTGTAAACAATTTTCTTCCCATGGCTCTAACACAAAGTTACATTTGGAGTGGCAGTTTTATATACATCTCCTTCAGGTCACATATCTGGGGAGCACCCATGGCCCTCATCTGCTGTTGGATAATGGTGAGCATGAGGATATGGATTGACACACCCTATTCCTTTTGTGTTCCTTAAGGTCCTGGTTTCCCCCTTCTCATGCTTTCCCTTGCAGATTTGCTTATTTCTTAATAGTGCAACATAGTATATTGTGCATTTGCTTGAAGCCTAAAAAAAGCAAGACAGATTTTATCATTTGGGCTGTAGATATTCAATGCCCATTATGGGCCGACTAAATTTAGTAGAGTGGCAATTCACCAGACTACTAAATTTAGTTAGGACATCCGGTCATATCATTTTACTTAGCTTAATATTGGATATCATAAGATAGGGCCTATCAAACAGTATGGCTCCAGCTTCCCCAGCTGCAGATTATATTATCACTATAGCTTTTCAAAAAATTCATGCTAAGTTTTTTAAAGTCTTAACATTTTTTAGTTGTATATTTTGTTACAAGTTTATAAATACGGTCAAAATTAATTTGGTTTTCACCGTAAAGATCACTGTTTAAAAAAAGATGCTGCTGTTTTCATTTTAAGCAAAACATTTGTCTTTCCTTGTTTAATTTCAGTAGGAATAGGAATTTTGTCATGAAAGCAAGGTGAACAAAGTGGAGTCCCATTTGGAGATAAATTTTGCACAATGATTTTCATTGCCTTCATGCATTTCTAGTTGCTATTAAATTTTTGGTTTGTTCCATATAAGAAAGAAAAAAGATTTGTGAGAATCCAGACAACCTGGCCTGTGACAGCAAAGAGTACTCAGTGCTGAAAATTCAAACTTGTCTTGTGTAGAGTAAATGGCAAAGAGATCTTGGTAGATCCTATGCACAACAGCTGGAGTTATGGCAATGGGATCAAATATGACTAACAGAATGGCACTGACAAGCTCATTAGTCTTGCTATAACTCTTATGTGTTATAGGGTAAGAAAATTGCAGTCGCAATATTTTGGGAGTCTGTGCACTTAATATATGGAAAGAAAATTGCAGTTGCAATATTCTAGGAATGTGTGGACTTAATCTTTTGTGGGAGGCCTTGAAAGGGAGCCAGTGTCTCTGCATCCCGAGTCAGTCATTTCCTATCCAAGTAAACTGGACTGAGATCATCTAGATTCTAGTCTTCGTTTCTAATGAGCTTTCACAGTAAAACAGGAAATAATAATCTTGAAAGGGGAAAAAATGGTCAAAAATCACTCAGAGAACATTTAAAGGTTTGTTCTGAACAAGCAGGGCTAAGAAAAAGGCCTGAGAAAAGTGTGTCCTGGGATCACTCACAGTTAAAGCACTGATTAATTAAGCAGAGGGTCATTCTTCAGAAAGACTCAAGGGCAGTTTTGGCCCCGCGGCTGTAATTTGGACACTTCTGGAGTTCTAGATACACTGAGCTATTCTGTGCAGGGCCTGTGAATATGTGCATTCTTCTGGCTGAACAATGGCATCTTTATTCAAATAGGAGCCACTAAGTAAGTGGCTGTCTCCTAATATGGGTGGTATTTCTTCCTGCTCTGCCTCAATCTCTGCTGCTTTCCTGTGGCCTTATCAGTGCTTTGTAGCACAACTTACAAAATGAAATCTATTCATAATGTTAAAACCCTCCCCCTTTTATAGACACAGGAAAAAAACCCCAAATGCTTACATATCCTCCAATTCTATGGCAGGGTGTTTACTTTTTTAAATGCAATTCTGCTTATCTGACGCTGGTTTGGAAATTAATAAAATGGTGCCTGGCTTTTATTGTTTTGACTATGGGAAGGAAATTAATCCACAACTATTACAAGTGTTTGATCCAAATAAGCAGAGATAAAACTACAGTTTCAAGAAACGTCGTTCCCTGTTTCTTAGGTATCCTAGTGCTCCTGACATGTCTGATTTATTCATGCCTTGTTTAGCAGCAACACTGTCCAGGTAGGTGATGCCCATTCATCTTGCTTTGTGTAGGTATTTCTTCAGCGTGGCTTTATTTATTATGCCTTAACTACTGTTCCTTCTTACTCACTAGGTTTGGCTCTGCCAGTGGTTAGAAAAGATGTTGTTTGTCTGAAGAGACAAGGGTGTGGTGAAAATACTCTGTGCCGGCCAAGTGAACCAAAACACTATCTGAATTACTACGGTGGCTGGAAAACTAAATTTAACTGACAGAAGATCTGGACCCTACCTGTGCTGAGAGGCAGAGAGAAAAAGAATCACAGAAAAAAAAGAATTGCCATGTACAGTTGGAGGTAGGTCTGGAGATGGGGACTGTGTCCCTCAAATCCTCTCAGCAGTTCACAGCAGAGGAGGATTTATAGCATTATTGCTTGGGGAAAGCAAATGTCAGTGTTTATGCAATATGAGTTGGTATTGTTCATAGTTAATTTGGTGACAGCAGGCTTGCTGTGAAACTGTACTGCAGAAATCTGTGACTTCCCTTATCAGGGGAACTGGGCTGTGGAACCACTCACAGACCAGACCTGTCCCAAAACTCATTGAAACTGACAACATCTGCTGGAGTCACAGGGACTGGAGTGGTGGGGCAGGAATGTTACTAGTTTCTAGCAAAAAGCAGAGGTTAGGCTTCTTTAGCTTCATGTGTCTCCAGAAATTGTGCTTCCTGAAATACTTCTGTACATACTGTACATTCTGTATAACCACCAAAAGTTAATGTACAGAGTTCTGGTTTTGTATTTCATACAAATTGCAATGTAATATAAAATTATTAATTGCAATATAATATAAAATACACCATCTCTGGAGTGGAGTAAGAGCCCACCTGTGTGAGTGGGCAGCTGCTGTTCCTCTTCCCAGAGGTTTTTGCTCCACTCCAGCATCCCACGAGCGCTAGGCAGACCAGCAGCCACACTGGTGGTGTCAGGGCAGCCTGGCAGCTGTGGCCCTTGGTAGAGGCATGACTCCTCACAAACCATATGGCTACCATCTAAAGCTCCACCAAAACACCTGGCAGTCTTTGGGCTGGGGACAAAATGGGAGGGAAAATGACTGCCACCATTCCTATATTTTTACTGTCCTGCTAAGCAGTGCATACTGTGAGAGAGGGCAGTGGGTGGATGTGTCTCCCCATGCCTGTGTGGGGAAGGAAGCCATGAGCAGAGAGGACTCCAGAGGACAGAAGTTTTGCATTAGCCATAAGCCAGAGGCAGTTACTCATATTTAAACAGTACCAGGCTCTGGGGAAATTCAGATGCAGACCTGAAATGCATGGCTTGGCAAAAGACTTTTGTTACTGTCACATGTCTGACCTCTGAAAAATAACGATAATTCAAAAGTTAAAAGTGTTCAGCTGACAGTAATAGAGTATTTGTGTTAAGGAGGATATTTTTCAAAGGTATAAAATCAACTTAGTGATGTGTTACAATTGATTCCTACAGAAGGCCTGAGTGAAGCAGATCTGGGGGACTTTGAGCTGCCATGAGGCACTCATTGCACTGGGGGGGTGTGGCTGTGGGTTCCCACTAAAAGTGTTGCATTTCCATAGGTAGTTCTGAAGATTCATGATCTTTCTGGACACTTTAAATACAATTATTCAGGATATTATTTCTCCTTGCTTAGTTTCCAAGCAGGCAGTTAGACTGAGCAACCACAAACATATATCTTGTAACCGGCTTTGATGTGAGAGCAGCATTACCATAATTCTGGAGAAATCTCTCTTTTCTGAACTATACTGGCAGCCCATGATACCAGAATGTCAAAATGACCTCCACTCTGTATTACACAGTGTATAAAAATTTCTGCTTACATTATGTCTCCTTTGCCCTTTTCAATTTTGCTTTATTTTCTTATAGTTCTGTAACGTAAGCTGTACATATTTGGAGATGGTTTTTTTCCTTTCCTCATCTAGCTTTATGGCTTGTTCTGGCTGAGATGTCCTTACATGATTTGATGTTACAAGAAATATATACACATGTAATTGTTCCACAGTGAACCAATCTGTCTGCAGCACTGGGGGAATATATATATTAAAATTTTCTTTCATGCTCTTTACAGAATGTATTTCTGGCTCTACAAATGATGCAAAATATTGGGAACTGAAACAATAAGGCTTGAGCTAGTTAGCAGGGAGTATAAATGTATGGTGGAGCCAAATATTCCTGGGAGTAATATTTTCATCAGAGACAGCATGTACTGTAACCAGGGGAGATAGGCATGAGTAGGCAAAACTATGGCTATGCTTAGAGCCAGCATGCCACAGCAGCTACGAATCACACACTGCTGAGTGACACCTGAAAAACTGAAGCCTGATTCTTCCATCAGGAAGAGCCCTTCCTGCTCTAAGCAGGGTGTGAGGCAGGAGAAGGTCATAGGAGCTGCCAAAGTGTGCCAAAATGCATCTGTGCCAACAGCACAGAGCAGCTGTGACAATAGTTGGGAGGGAAGGCCAGGCTGTGCTCAGCCTCTGGAGTCCTGCCACTTGGTCCTTGTGCTGGTGGCAAGTGGCCCTCTAATAATGGAGTGTTTAAGGAAGTGTCACAGAGCCAAGTGGATAGAGATCAGGGAATCATCATGGAGGAGCTCAGTAGCCTTTTCCATGCAAAGAAATGTGGGAGGACTTTGGTGTTTCTGAGCAGGAGAGAAGCGATGAAAACAGCCAAGAATTGTTGCTGAGGTGGAGTAGCAAAGCTTGTTTAACACGGCGCATTGCAGTGGTATCAGCAGTGTGGAGTCAGTGCTCCAAGTGCTGCATAGTAGGACTTATTTGAAGCAGCTATTGTAAAAGTCTTCGAGCCAGTTAATTACCAGTTTTTGTTATGTCAGGAACTCCTTGAGTTAAAGCAGAATGAAACTATTCATGAATATGTTCCAGTTCTGTAGTTTAATGGGACAAATTAAAAAAAAAAAAAAAGAAAGAGAGAATGAAACTGATAAAATGATTTAGTTATGGAAAGACTGAAAAGCCTTACAAAAAAAGCTGAAATTACATATTGTGCCCCATCTACTCTTGCATAAGCCATTGAAATTGCTGGAGACTTAGCTGGACTAATCGTCCATTGCAGTTATGCATGAGCTTTAGGGAGTGCACAGGGTGCATATAGGTCAAAGCACCAGCCTATGAAAGAGAGGAAAATTATCCAACAGCATTTCTAAAAATGTAGATGTCCAGGTATGAAAAGCCAAGAGGCTTGGCTTGCATTTAAAAAGTATTAAGAGCAAGTGAGGAATTTAATTTAATTTATTCACCAAATGGACTCAAAGAGGTGTGAAAAAAGGACTGAAGTTGGCCAGGTTGGGTGGGTCTTTGAGCAACCAGCTCTTATGGAAGGTGTCCCTGCCCCTTGCAGAGGGGTTTGGACTAAATAATATTTAAAATCCCTTCCAACCCAATTCATTCTATAAATTGATGCTAGGCAAGAGAAAACTTTCAATGGAAAACAAAAATCTACAGAGGACATTAATGTAGACTCATTCCCTTCCTGCTTACATGAGTTTTTCCCTCTGCACCTCCTTGTTTGCTGTGAAGTTACAGATGGACCATGGTTATCGAAAGCAGATTTGGGCCTAGAAGTTCCATCTGATCAGAAAAAAAGTAATAATGCATGCTGCATATTGAACTGATCTGCAGACATTGGTGTAAATGCCTCTTTAGAGCCTGTCTCATACTATCAGTATTCTTCAAACATCTACTTTGCTCCTTTAGAATACCGTGAAAATCACCAACACATCTACTGAATTGAATTTTAAAGACAACTCAGAAACAGAAACAAATCACAGTTTTTGGGTCTGCTGGCTAGAAGAATACTGTTGCTGAGGGGGTTCTTCCTGCATGTGTCTGAGCACCTCCAAAATGACCTGTCATAAACATATGTGTCCTGGTTTCTTCTGTTGCAAAGAGAGTTTATTAGGAATTTAGCCTACCTCTTGAGAAAAGAAATTAGTCCAGCTTACTAGAATGCCCATGTTCCTAATTCTTACCATTCCACAACTGAGACCCCCCATGACCTGCTCATATATTATGAAGCATCTTGGAGGAAGCTTTTATGATTTTGTGCCTATAAATGCAATAATCTCTCAGGATATGGAGAAAGTGCAGAGGATATTGAACACAGTTTGTTAGCTATTTTTTCTTGGTATTACTTGTATCTTTTCATCCATGGTAAACTTCTCTGTGCTTGGCTTCTTAGAAATCCCCAAGTCCTACACTAAACACTTTTGGTAATGATACTACTGTGATGTAGGGCTGACCACACTGTAGAGGTTATCAGCCTTTCAGTGGTGCTCTTTCTCAGGGCTGATTTCCCATTTGGCATGCTGCTCCTCACTTCTCCCTGCTCCTGCTCCCCTCCCCTGCCCAAGGGCTTTGTTCTGGGTGTAAGAGCCCCTCTGATGCATGCTGAACTTACAGGGTTCAAGACATGAGGCTTTTGCTTTGTTGTTCTTTAAAGTGCTAATCTGGTTTTATTAATATATTTTCAATGTTTGGGATTAGCAGAGCTTGTAAGAACACATCAGACCTGCCAGGTTTACAAGCCCACTCACCACCTTCACCCCCTTACATATATTTTAATATATCTAATTAGGAGATAATGCCAGTGGAACAAAACACTGTCATAAGATAAGGATCTCACGCCACTATAGAAATGGTAAGTGGAAATGTTTATTTTCAAAGGAAAGAAACACTGATCATGTGCTTAATCCTATATTTTTAAACAAGTAAAATTCCTGTAGATTTCAGTAGAGCCTGAGGTGACAACATCCTATTACTGTGGTAGTGTTTCTGGATACCAAATGGCCATAAGTGATGTAGTCATTTTCTCCAAATGATACTGGTGCAGTATTGGAACAGATGTTTCCCTTACCTTTATTAGCCTGTCGTATATTCTAACTTGAAGGACAAATTCTGCATGTGCATCATTGCACCAGCTTAGACAGTTTTTTAAAAGATGTGCTTTAGGAAGCAGTGAGCTGTGGTTTGGGTGAAGTTATGCATATTTTTAACTTACTGACAGTTCACAGTGCTGATGCACAAGTCTCAGTTGCTACTGCAGGCTCCCTTTTGGTACACTAAGGATCCTCTCTGTTTAAGTCCAAGTTGGCCTTCCCTCTTCATGGAATTTTGGAAACAAGGCTTGTCTTAAGGTGGTTTACTCCTGAAAGGTGAACTTATCTTTGTAGTGGGGTGAGGGACTACTCACAAGTAAGAGGTACAAGTGCATTAACCCTTCTGACCTAACTGTTCCTGTTTCCCAGAAATAGAATTGAGAAAATGTGAGGCAGCTTTACCTCTCACTCAGGCTCATCCTTGTGTTTGTGTTCCCAGCAGCAGTGCTGCTGGGGGCTGTGCTGTGCAAATTGTTCCCCAGATCACCTTCCAGGAGCCTCTCTCTGCTCTGAGGTAGCAGTAATGGGGTGGCTATATTCACCTTTGCTGTCTCCCCCAGGGAGGCCTTCTTTCTACTGCAGCTCTGGACTCACTTTAGATGCAGGACTGTCTTACAGACAGGGGAATAATGCAGTAGAAATTGGAGGCAGCTACAGAGCTGCTTTCAGAGAAAAGCCTGACAGTGGTTCATCGAGGTTTATGCTGGTAAGAATTAACTTGCACAAGTTGTCAGTGCTTTTCCATAGGTGGTCATTGGTTTTCAGAAATTACCGCTGTTTTCACTATTAATGAAGCTTCATCTTTCCATTGGATCATCTCTAACCTGCTGTAATTGTTCTGATTTTTATTTTTTACCTTGTTCACCAGTTCATGTCTAAATACAAGAAGATGTTTATATTGCATACATTCAGCTTTAATTGGCCCTTAAAAGAAGGTGTTGATTAGAATCTTCTCAACATCAACAGCTCGCTCGCACAACATTCTCTAATTACTGTTTATTAATTTAGTTCAAGTGGCATAGTTGAAAGCCCTGCTCAGATGGGAGAAGTAAATTGTCACTGGTATTGAATATGTAAATTATGTGCCATGTAAGTTTCCATGAAGAATGTTTAAAGTTAAATGTTATCCACATAAAGCCTTCCAGTTTCATCTAAGCCAGCCATATGACAGCTTTGCAAAAAGTGTCATGAAAATTTACCAGCCCTGGCAAAAAAAGTACTTGCCTATCCTTTACTTTTTTCCTATTAACATAATCATTATGATAATAATAATTTATTTGCCCATCAAAGAAAAAAAGTAATCATTCATTCTGGCTGGCTGGAGATTTGCAAAGCTGCCAATTGAATCTGAATTACATGTTGCTACAGTATAGACATTCAGCAGCCTGGATTTCTTGCCCTAGTGCAGTAACCCTCCCTTCTCTTTAATTAGCTTATAAAGTCAGAATTTCTTTAACAAAGTACTCATTAAACATTGCCTTATTACATTACTTTAGAATGCAATTAAAAGTTTTAAGAGTGTCGTGGAGTTTGTGTGCCATTGTCAGCATCCATGTCACTCACTATCAGTTTCCACCCACTCACACAGATCAGAGGCCTCCTGTTAAATGTAGATGGCACTTCATAGCATTTCTATATAGAATAGGCATAAACCAATATCTTGATGAGGATGACCTGACTGCACCTTATATTTCTGGGAATAAGAAAGGAATAGAAGGGGGGACATTCTAGAGGAAGGAGGAGCTCAGAGTATTTGTTGTCCTTCCACCTCTACAGTTCTCTCTCTGCAGCCCTTAGCGTGGGAGTAGCTGCACATTGTTGGTAAGTGTACTGCTTCCAAGTCTTCCCAGACAAAGCTGCATGGGAGTACCACAGAGATATTCTGTATGGTTCTGAAACAAGAGAGAACAGACATTGCCTTAAAAGAGAATGAAAAATATCCAATGCCTGAATGCTGCCTGGGCCTTCACCCAGTCCTCACACTCTCGCTGGCTGCTGTTATCATGAATGGCACTAATCAGTTCCAGGAAGTCTCTACAACAAGCATTATGTCACATTTGGTTACATCATTCCCTCTAACCTCTAGGGCTTCCTGTTGACATCTCTGGAGCTCTTCTACTACCAAATGGTATTAGAAGAAATGCCAAGCTGTATTTTTATCCATTTCTGTCTGCCAAAAGGAATTCAAATGTTTTCCATTTGCAGGTTTTACCTGCTGGGTCTCATCTTTGCTTCTTAAAATGAGCAAACCTTAGTGAGCCTTCTCACAGTATCTCCAGATGTTTGCCTAAAGGATGGTAAGTGCATGTGAGGGGTTATTGAGACAGAAGGGGCTAATGCCTCTGCAAAATGTATTTATTCTTAATGTCTACCAAATTGCTAATCCAGCCTGTCAATTGTGTAACCTCTGTTACAGGAAACTATTTCTCTATTTCATTCTTAATTCTTTCCTAGTAGATGCTGCTTCCCAGTGTGGGCTATGTTTCACCTTCTCATTGATTTCAAGCATTGTGCTGCTTGGCATTCTCCTTTCTCTTTGCAGGCCCATCTCCAAAGGTAGGAGCCATTTAACCCTTGGAACAAACAGTGACAGCCCATCAGCTTTTTCTTGCAACCCCCACTTATCCAACTGCTTAGCTGAAAAAAGCAGGGCTCAAAGTCTTTCCAGACATACCAAGCAAGATTTTTCTTTCTCGAAAACCACTGTGTTCATTGGTTTGGGTGTTTTTATTCTTATTATTTGTCTGGTTTATACCATCCTTTCATTCTAAGAGTTTTATTTTTGTGGCTGTTTCTGTGTTTATTCACTGCTGCAGTAGGTATCAACAACATGATTAAATTACAGCTCTGACTGTTGCAACATAAGCGCTCTGCCTTCATTATCTGCAGTGCCTAAAACTATTTGATCTCTAATAAGTTCACCTGCAAGTGTGCCTCATTTGCATGATGAGGCTAACTGGTGCAGCCTGGGTGCATATTGGTCTGTGATTTCAGTTTCTCTTCGATCAGATGCATCAAACAGAAGGAACTATTAGAATTGCCAGCGACTGTATTTTTTTTGTGTTAATCATGCTAGAATACTAGGAGTCCCAGGCAGCCTTACCAGGCTGGAGAAATCCAATGACAAAAAGCATGGGAGTGCTTCTGATGTCAGATCATATACAAAACAGTGCTGTGCTGGGGATAGTTGGTCTGGTTTGATGGCACACAGTGCTAAGATCATACCCAGCTCCTGAGCAGGTTATTCAGTAGCCTTCTTTGGTAAACTGAAAATCCCATTGCCCTAAGCCCTTGAGGGAGCTGTGCCACCCAGCAAGGACCTCTCCCCTGGCCCATCAGGCTCACAGCTGGAAGCGCCTTTCAGCATCTCTGAGGGTTGCTGCCTAAATGTCCCCAGCTCACATTCATCCCTGCTGGTCCTGTACTTAGATCCAGTTGACATTTATTTGGCAGTAATACCCAGGGTTTTATTGCCCAAAGTGTGTAGGAAGAGAAAATGTGTTCTCTTACACCCATCTTTTAGGAACCTGAACCTTTCGTTGTGTGTGAAATGGAAGCAGCAGACTTCAAAGCTAAATGTAAGAAGAGAACAGCAGCTCAGTGATTGTGAGATTCATAGCAATAGTGCTGAAAACGTATCACGTTGCCCACTTCCTTTCTAGATCAAGCTCAGGATAGGCCTGTGTGTTTTACTGTGTTCAGCATGACTTTAAGAAATGTGACTTGCCCCATTGCAGCATCCCTTGCTTCTCTAATTTCAGATTTCAGCTTCTTACATTGCATTTTCATTTGAGACAACTTTTAATTGGGCTGAATGATCTCAGAGAACATCAAAATGTCTCTCATTGCTCTGAATGCGTCCTAGACTGAGTTTGCATTTCATACACAAAAACAACTCTTTTCTTTTCCTCTTGGGCTCACACAGCAAATAAAAAACTAAACCAAGCAGAACCAAACAAAAGAATTCTGAGAAGCTCATCAGCAGTATTTGCTTTGTACAGAACAGTAATTTTTCCCTAGCACATACTTCCAAGAATTTTTTAAAATGTCATTCATACATCATCTGCCCCAACAGACAATAGTTGTTCCAGAGAAGCTGTTGCTCTCTATTAGGTCAATGATCAGTGAACTAAACATTTTCTACTTAGGCCCTCATATGATAAAAGCCTAAGAGCTTTGAAGGAGCCATTACAGACTATTGCCTAGAAGAAATATCCATTTGAAAATTCAGCAATTATGTACTTCTATAATAGCGTGTAAAAGGAGCTCTGGACCCATTATGGGTTATTGAGTAAATAATGTATTTTTAAAAGTGTCTAAGTAATTTATATGATAGCCTGTATTGGCAGCAAAGAGTGATTGTAGACTAAACATTCTGTCTTTCTCTCTTTTTAAAAATCTCATTTAAATCCCTAAATAGCAATTAAAGAAAGAAATCCCTGATGTAGTTTCAGTATTTCTATAGTAGTCAATAGCTAATGGCTCTGACTGCTGCACTGAGGCTGCCATTTTGTGCTGAGACAGTTTTCTCTGGTCTGACTTTCTTTTTTTGTCTTGATTGGATAAGACAGGAGGCTTCATTATCAAATATAATATAGAAGTGTCCAGAGGCCTCCTGGAAGTCAGACTCATAGTCATCAGACCTACCCATAATCAGGAACAGCCACTAGCCAGAAGAGCCACCAGTCCAGAGAGAGAAGACAGAAAGCTGTCAGTCCCTATTCTGGGGAAGAAATGAGTCTTGGAGAGAGGAAATATGTTGTTTGAGATCATGCAGGGAACAAAGAACCTCTACCTCCCAAGTCCAAGTTTAGTTTCCCTGCTTTATGTGTGGACCTTTCACGGAGAGGCACAGCCTGTGCATCTTGAGTGCTAATGCAAACTGCTGCTCTGTCAGGTGACCTCAATAGTCTTGCTTTAGACCACTGCATTCAGCCCTCTCAGGCACAGATCCTGGTCAAAGCAGATAGGAAAACACAGCAGTTCAAAAAATTTGCATTGTAGCAGCAATGCACTATGAAACATGCAGGAAAGCAAACTTGTTTGCCTCTAGCAAGCATGGAGTAAGTTTCCTTAGTCCTCCCATTTATTTATCATACTGCTTCCTGCTATAGCAGGAACATAGTATAGTCACCTCTTTAATAATTTTTTGTCAAAATTTGAAAGAATAAGTTGAAACAGTTTTGTTCTTTTTTAAGAAATACTGGTGCTTGAGCTGCTCTGAATTTTGGACATTATATTAGGATCTCCAAATATCTGTCAGACTAAGCAGCCTTCAGTGCCCCAGGGACAGTACTTGACTTCTGTACTACCTGTACCTTACAATATTGCAAGGGGCCTGACTTGAGGCAACTACAGTAAAACAATTTTATGCCTATGGTGATGCTCCATCTTAACTCTTTTTTGATGGTATTTTATCTAGCATAAATTTGATACAAAGTCTCTTTGGTGCCCTGGAACCTGCAGGTCCAGACCTGTGTTGTGACTCATTTTGTACATGAAATACCTTACCAGCCAGCAGGAAGCAAGCATGTTTCCCATGTCTGCCATGAGTTCTGATTTTCCTCTTTGGAGGCTGTGTAATGCCTGCTCCTTCATATGTGTGTTCAGAGTACATTGTGTGCTTCCCAAAGCTTTTTTCAGCCATTTCTCAAGATTTGACTACATCTGTTTAATTCCTCATTGTTTAAGGAAAGTGGTTCTGATGCAATGAATAAAAGTGTGGCATTTTAGCTGCCTTCTGGGAGATGTCAAGGGACGGGTCTCTGTAGTGAGGCTGCTGGCATGTGAGAATTTGTTTTTCATGGGTTTGGAAAGACACAAAGAAGAAAAGAAATGCAAGGGTAATGAGCATGTAGTTCAGAAGACAAAAAAGAAAGGGAATGACTTAATGTAGAAATGGTAAAGTAGTATGGAGAAGCCCACCTTGTAAAGTAAAAAAATGTAAAGGAAAAATATAAAGTAAAAAATGGTGAAGGAGTGGTAACAGAGACAGAAATAAATAAACAAACAAGGTGAAAGCCATAAATACATCTAAGTTGAATTTGAGCAAAACATATAACGCCCAAAAAAGCAAGCTGTCTCTTCCACAGCTAGACTGTATTTGTCACTTAGGAAAGGAGAGTTATGTGTTGGGATAATTGACTGGAGTGATGATGAAGTACCTATCACTGGAGTATTTCTATGACAGAGTAGTCAAAAAGCTGGGGAATGTTGCCAGCTATTGGATGACCCTTCCAGTTCTATTTTCTATGACCTCAGCATCATATAATGCTTGAGTGGGAGAAGTACTTCAGTTGTGTGGTCATGGAAACCTGTTTCTGACCTGGTCACCTCCTCACCAAAATTCTCTGTGATCTCAAAGAGTAAACAAGGCACAAATTTGGAAATTAAGTCAATGAGGAAAATTAATATAGAGGGGAAAAAAGAAAAAAGGAACTGGTCGAATTGCAGACAACATTTTCTTCTGACCTATGGGCCCAATGCCACAAAACTTGCAATTTCCTCCTCATACTGAACAGCTCCATTTTGCAAAAAATACCTAGTTTGGCTTAGATACATACCAAAGCCCTCACAACTTGAGTTAAAAGAACTTGGGATCTTTCTTCCAAGAACAGAATTATTAATTGATCTACTGTCCTTCAACTCTAAATAGTTCTGTTCTCCCATTCAAGGAAAATTCCTTCTTATTTCAACCAAAGTCACACTTCTGAAGTGATCTGGGATTATTCTAGACTGGTGATTATTTCCATGCAAGCCACCAGTTACTCTGTATAAAACAAAGTGCAAAACAGGCTTTTAAAAGCAAAGTCTGGAGAAGCATCAGATTGAGATGAAACAAGCTTTCATTCTCCCATCATGTGGAGGTCCTCAGGGCTTGCCAACAGGACCTAGCAAAGCCAAGTATGCTAATGTCAATGGTCCTCCCTTGCAGGCAGGACACTTGCATTGCTCCAGTACATATACAGTATAAGAAGGCACAGGCCTTTAAAGTGACCACTTCTTCACACAAATCTACCCTGTGTTATTTTTTTTTTACACTCTGGGCCACTGAGTACAATGCTGGTAATTGGAGGAAACTGCTTTTTTTTTTTTTTCTCTGACAGTACTTTAGAGACATTAGATTCATTATTTGAGGGCGTGTATGAGATTCTGGAAGTAGAATTTATGTCTGCTATGCTGTGAGATCTTTGGTATGATATTGACTCACTCATTGGCACCTGAGAGAGGCTTGGGGAATTCAATAAATTTTCAACAATCCAGTTTGAGAGATTAAACAGAATTATAGCTCGCTCAGGTTTCTCCTAATTTTATTAGATTTTCACCATTTCTAACTGCATAAACATATGCAGCCAAGTATGCAGGTGGGGACTGGGATGATGTACAAGGACACTCAGCCTCCATAGGCACCTAATTGGTGGACTAAGCAATAGGACATTTGGAAAGACTGGTATTTTTTCAGAACATTGTATGATAAAATTCTGTCCCCATTAAAACTGAAGCAATCAAGAGAGGAAAGATTTTATCTATAGATTCTGTTGGAACCTCAGAGAAAGAGATGAGAGGAACTATCTGATGCAGAGAATATCTAGGATGAAGGTGGTTGTTGTGGGCAAGATTAATTACTTATTTGTCTTGGACAGAGGAAAAAAGATATAATGTCTCAAGACCATAGAATTCACCTGATAAATATGGTGATATCAGAAGGTTTTTGATCAGGGCTAAACACAGAACAAGCAATGTTTAAAAATTTCAAATAATAGCAGGGCAAATAAGAAGTAATTTTGAATGAACATTGTTATTATTATCAAATGCTAAGCTGTAATATTTTCAGTGATATTTTATATTTCATTTTAGAAAAGAAATCTGGTTTTTCTATGTATAGGAGAACTCTTGAGCCTATGGTATGCTATGGTAAAGTGACACCAGCTGAGGTACTGGCCTGACTGTTTATGTGTGTACTTTCTCATGAAATAATATTGCTGTCCATATCTGTTAAGGGAATGCTGCTGTTGACTTATTTTCTACAATCAAAACAGAAAGAGGAGTAGGAGGGAAAAGTCTACACGCTGGGTTTTGCTCTGCAGTGTTCTTTTCTCTGATACAGCACCTGCACTATGAAATTCACCCCGAATGGATGCTCAGATGGTTTTACTTCCAGCAGAGAGGACACAACTCTCAGGCTGAATTAGGCCATTTGGAGAGATTTACCAAAATCTCCATGGGTGATAGACGTAAGACTTTTCTCTCAAACTGGTCTGGACTGAGCATTTGGTGAGTAAGTAAAATTTTAGGTTTTTTTCCTTTTGAAAAGTAGAATAAACCAAAGATGTTGATCACATATTTGGACCTGGACTTCCCAGCAAAATCCTCTGAAAAGTCAGAATATTTAGTAAACAGATTATGAAATATTTTCTAGAAAAAAAAATATATATACAAGAGGGATTTAATAATGTTGGGATGAAGTTTTCTGTTAATGACTTTATTTTCTTCTTCCTCCTGTTTAGGCAGTAACATGCGAACTCTGACCACATCACCGGTGTGAAATTGTTGATTAACCTTTTGACTCTGACAATTGGGACTTCTCTCAACACCAACTGGTAATGCAGAAGGCCATTAGTAGTTAATATTGGGACATCCCAGCTCCAGATGTCAAAAGGTTAATGAAAAATCAAGTATCTTGCTTTTGCTGGGGAACTTGGAAACCTTCCCCCCAAAGCAGTTAATTTTTTCTGATAAATAAACCAGACTGCTTGAGCTGAGAAAGACGGGTGTTTTGCTAATGTGTACAGCTGTTAATTGAAAAAGATTTGGGTATGCTTGTTCTTTTGGATGTAGATAAAAGAGAGATTTGTTGGCAAACTTAGTTAGTCTTGAACACCCCTTTGTTCAAATACACTACATAATAATAACGCTTTGTTCTTTCTGTAACAGCCATGGAGGGATTTTGAGTAGAATACTCATTTTCTTTAAGTCATATCTGCCAGTAATCATTCCTGGCTTAAGACCAGCTGCCATTTATGTGTTTTATGAAAATATAACAGTTTTACACTCAAAACTATTTTCTTTTTAGGTAAAAGCTTCAGCACAAGCTGGTTCCCTGTATCTACCATAAATGCTATTTATCACAGATTTTGGTCTTTAAAACAGAAAGATAATGTTAAAACATTTTGATTACCCTTTCCTTGCTATCATTCACAACCCATCTTTTCTAATTATGGTATTAGGACATTTACATAACCGGGAAAAGGGTCCTTTAACTACATTTCTATTATGTTTGGCACTTCTGTGAAAGGATATTATATTCATGTGCATTAGAGATTGCTTATAAAAGATCAAGACAATAATAGCAGATCAGACGATAAAGGTTCCCTTTTCTCCTCCCAGACAGGCTGTCTCTGACAGAAGAATACAGTTCATCAAAAGTGTCTGCAGGTTGTCAAACTCAGTGAGATTTGGGGACACTCGGAGGCTGTCATGGCCAACAAGAAGATTTTCTGTAGGGTTCTGCCATCATTCACCCTCAGGAAATAATCACTCACTACATTCTGCATGCTCTCATGATAGAGCTCTATTTGAGAGAAAAGAGCCATTTTATCAAAGGACAATATATCCCTTCTCTTGGTCCATGTAGCTTCCATTATCAGACCATAATAAATCATATTTATGTTCTCAGTTAATAAGACTGATTACAATGCAGGTTACAGGCATGGGAAAAGAAAATCAGGTGAAAAGATGTTTTAATGAAAATATGATAAGCAAACAGCTTCTTGTGAACATTTCAGGCTGTTATTTGTAATGATCACAGGCAATTTTTGATACATCTTCTTTAGCAATGGTTTAAGCTGCATAAATTGGCTTGCCACTTTATACGTTGAAATAGGAAGAATCCTGGTGTCCTTCTTATGTTGTCTAGAATCATTATATACATTATAAGCATAAAATGAGTTTAATGTATGTGCTTTGAAAAGAAGGGGGAAACAGAAAATCAGGGAAGACTGATTTTAATGCTGCTCAGAATGATTTTGAAATTTTCTACTCATCTTTGTTACTAACGGTGCATTTTCCATGAAATTTAGGAATGATATGTACTGCTTTCATCTCCTTAAAATTAATATACTGTGCTCTCTGTTTTTCTCAATTTCTTCAAAGTTCTTCTTAGAGCACTGTGCAAAGAGACAGAGAGAAATTCTCCACTCGAAGCATATCTGCTGTTAATGCTGAGGGGAGTTAAGTGTCTGCTTCTATAGGAGAATACACCCCAGTGTTCCTGAAGGGCACCCTGTTAATATGGTGCAAGAATGTCTAACTCTGGCACAGGTAATGCATTCAAGGGCCAACTTCCACAGAATTTTTTAAAGTGATTAAGGCAGTTTTTTATTAGGGTAAATATTATGATACAATTTCATCATATAAGTGTATGGAGGGAAGTGGCTGGTGGACTGTATCACTGTCATCTTGTGAAAAGTCTTATTTTGCTATTATGTTCAGCATCATATTTTCAAGATGGAGTTAGAAATTTGAGGAATAATTTCCTCCTGCTAATACATAATTTTGACTGGGTCTCTGAAATTCTACAGCACTTGTAGAACAATGGTGACAAAGACTCCTTGGAGTTGTGTCTGCAGGACCTATTCTGCTCTCAGGTATTTCCCTAAAATCACTCTTACAAAAATTTTAAAGCATTGTATTTGTCCTGGCCCTGAAGAATGGCCATAAAATTACCTTAACCCTTTTAGGACACTTCAAAAGAACAGTGCCCATATAAGAAACAGCAGACTGCTCTTCAAAGGCAATATCCTGATATGACAACAGATGTAGATAATGTACTTCATGATGGAACTGCTTGATACAGAGAAAAACATGTTGTAACTGCCTTCACCGTGAAAGAGGTTTAAAAATGCTGCCTGCCAACTCCACAAAAACCAGAGCTGCTATTTCGGTTAAAGGCCAGTGGATTGTATTTTTCACGTCAGTTTTCACTAACCTCAAACATCACTGTTATGACAGATTGTCATCCAACCAAACCAGCATTCTGTTGCCATTCAAGCAAGCAAGAAAAAAGCAAACATGAAGGAAACTTAAAAGTCCAAGTAGTAATTGGGGGGTGCATGTGGGTGAACTACTTTTGTGTAACAATATTGATTACTGAAAATGAAACACTTAAAAGAAAATAAACAAAAAGCAATGCTTTCTGTGCCAGTGGTGTTTTCTTGGCTGGCAATTTCCCTTTGTTCTATTTCATGACACTAGGCTCAATGGTTGAAGGGGTGTTCTGGGCCAGATGTCAATCACAATGTCTGACATAAACAAAAATAGCTAAAAAGGCATGCCAGCATCTTCCTTTTGTTTTGCCATTAGCTCCATTTTTCTTTTCATAGGCTGACAAAAAATTACTGCCTCCAAGTGAATTCAGTAATGTCACTATATATCTAATATCTAGGAGACCTTTTGTTTTAGCTTTACTGGGCTTAACCACAAAAGACACTTGACATTGACAAAGAATCTGTCAAACATACAATGATCAGTGCAATGAAACCTCTCATGACAGAAGGGCACTATTCTGCCTCCCCCTTGCCTCCAGCAGCAGCCTGTCTGAGCAAAATATGCTGGAGCACATGTAGCAGCTGAACCATTACAGAGCAGGCCAGAAGCTGAGATGTGTCTTGTTTAAATTGTCATAGCATATTAGTATAATTAAAACTGCCAAAAGAGTAGAAAAGATAGATGGAAATGTTACATTACTTGTTTCTAGAGATTAACCCCCAGCCAGAACTGAAATAGAGAGACACGTTTTGGATTTCTCAGAGCTCTGATATGGAAGAAAACAAGCCCAAGAGTACATCTCTCGAAGTGCGAGACATGAAGTCATAGTTCCTATATTTACACAAAAAAAGCAGAAATAGTGTTTCAGACAGACACTCTGTTTCCTCTGTGATTACAGCTCCCGTGGTGGCTGTGCTCTGCAGAGCAGTTGTATCATCTCTCAGCTAATTCCTTTCCACTCTCCTCTGCCTTTTTTCCTGCAAGGTCTTGACATCTCTTGGGCTTGCTGATAAGCCGATGTCACCCCACTTTGCCCTGTCATCTGTGGTCTTGGCTGGTGCTCCAGGTGCCCACCCTGCAGCAGTACACAGTGACCATGGTCCAGGCTCTGGGCCTCAGCAATGCCCAGCAGCAGTGGTCAGGAGCTCATCCTGCACAGGTTTCATCCTTTGGGCATGCCCATCCCTGGGCAAGAGAAACAAATGCCTACAGGAAGCAGGCACAGACAGACCAGCCCTGAGATTGCTCTTGAGTCCAGTTCCCTTGTGCACAAGAGAGCCAGAAATGGAAGACTTAAACTGCTTTGCCAAAGCTGTTTCTACTTCTCATTGCATGGGAAGATGTTTGAACAATGACTTCAATTTAAAATCTGACCTTTCAAATGCCAAGCTTTATGCTTGTTTCTGTATTGAATGTATAGATAAAACATATGGCTTTCTAAAATTGACCCTAACAATTATGTTCTCTTCATCAATGAGATGTTTTCCTTCCCATGCATCGTTACCTCTCATAACTATACAGGACAAACTAGTTATGATCTAAGTTTATAATTATGCCCTGAGTTATATCTGGTGGTAAGAAAATTATTTAAAATCTTCTGTGTGTTTGTTCAGTTGTACATGTAGTTGTAGATTTTCTCAATTTATCCAGAAGCTGGGGAGGACCTGAACTGGGTTCAGCCATTCTGAAAGAGAGAAGAAGCAGCACAACTATCCTCTGACAAAAATGGTACATTCAAGGAGAAGCTTCAGGAATCAGGTAGGATTCATACTCATTTCTTCTAGTATTAATGAAATTCACAGCTTTGCCTCATTTGCTGACTTGCTTTAAGTAGAGAGATGTTAAATGTGAGTCTTTAATTTTAGGTTCCTCTATATTTCCTGTATTTCCCAAATTTAAATCTTGGTTAATGACTTCTCCATATAGGGCTTGTAGATGTGCATAACTAGTAAAAATTATGTTATCTGCATTTAGTGTTGGCTTTTGGAACCCTCACCGCCAAGTCACCTCTCTACTGCATCTCACCTCACATGCATTTCTGAGTAGTGCCAGGAGAAGAATGGAAAATAGCCATGAAGTAAAAGCAGATTCTGCTCCCATTAAAGGCAATGAAAACTGTGCTTTTACTTCTAGTTACTCATAATAGCGGAGAAAAATGAAGTGGAAACAAGCACAACAAAACACCTCTGCCAGCTATCTACAAGCTAACCAAGGCTTCCACTAATGAGGTGCTCTGGCATTTTAAGAAAGACAAGCTCTTCCAGCAATGGAAAAAATACACTGAGTTTTTCCTTCAGTTCTCAAAGGCTAATGAAAGAATAACAAATTGTATTTCAAAAGAGGGATGACAGTCGAACTTTTAATGCTGTCTGTGCTATTAAATGCCTAAAGATGCCCATACAGTTTCTGGTCAATTAAATGCTTTTACATACATATTTGGCAGCTTATTAAATATTGATACTTACATACCTCACCAAATTATTGACTGTATTTACAGGGTCCTTTAAATGACCACAATTTTTTTGAGAAAGTTATCAATATCAAATTACAATAATGGAGTAATTTTCAGGTCAAATTTTCTAGACGAGTCTATACCATGGACAATCACATAGTCTATTAAACAAAACAGTACAGTTTGTGGAAAAGATAAAACTCCAGATCATGAGATAGCACCAGATTTCACATTATGATTTCCAGATGTCTTTGTGAGCTTAATGCATACAGCATTGGTTTAAGTCTAATCTGCATGGCAGAAATGCAAGTTGTTCCAATTTTCTCCTCACTGGGGCTGTGTGGAGAAACAGGAGGGCATTGTTCTGCTGCTTTGGAGAGAGGAGTTTACCTGAAGGACAGGGAAAAGTCACACCTAGCAGTGCCCACATCCTCATCTGGCTGCAGAAAGCTGGCAAATCTGCCCCTGACCTTTATCTTCCCACCTCAGCAGCCTTTTTTCTGCACACTTGTCTCCACACAGTGTCTCCATCACCCCAAGACATTGGATAGAACTGGCCTCCCTGTCCTGTTCCCCTGACCTAACCACTGGAAGCATCAACATTCTCTTTTGTTTAGAATGCTGAAAATATCTGAGTTACAGCAGCCTGTCACAGCTGTCAGGCTTCTGTGACAGCCTGGTTGTATTATTCTAAGCAGTGTGTGTTTATTCACTTGAAGGGAGAGAGAGGGTGGAATTTCCCAAACTGAACATCATATATGCTCACTAGAAGCTCCTGTAGTGAGTGTCTGTGCAACCAGAAGGCAGCTTCCCAGCTGTTTCCAGGGTGCAGCTTTGGAAACAGTGTTCCCTGAAAATCCACTGTAAAACAATGCATTGCATCAGTTTCCTGGACCAGGGACTAGGTGAAGTCACAGTACATCAGTGGCAGCCTGGGGGATTTACAGTATTTTGCAGGGCAGCTCAGTATCCTCCTGTGCCCAGGGGGGCACAGATGTCCAGAAGTTTCTGGAGGCTCACATGTAACTATAAACATGAAATAGTATTTCCTCTGTTACATTCCTGCTGGAGAGCATTTTACTGGTACAAGTAGGTGGGCTAGACAACAGTGCAAGATAGGACATTTGCTTTTCAATTCTAGCACTGTTGGGCTGGGAAGTGAAAAAGAGCTCTGCAAACAGAACAGGTGTTTGACATGACAGTGCAATGAGAATAAAAGGCTCAAGGCTACTTTTTCTCTAAGGGAATCTCTACAAAAAAATGCCAATTTGGGGCTTTTTGATTTTCTCTCTGGAATCAAATATTCAGTGTGAATTTACAGAGTATGAGGAAAGAGTATTTTGGCTCCTTCAATCCTGTGTACAATACTTCCCAGGGTTTCAGTGAGGATTTTAGCATCTCTTGCAGTCTTCCAATGTTATGCTGTGCAAGGATGTGCTTATACATAATTTTGTAATTGAAATGGCATGTTTACTGTTCTATTTCATGCTTGATTGTGTTTTTTAAACACCTTTACTCATGCTGTTAGAAGTGGGATTATAATTAAAATGTCCTGTTGAACACCTTGTTCAATTCAATGAAGGCATAATAGAAGTATAAATACTTGTTCTCGTTGACTCTGTGATGTCAGCACAACAGACACAGTAATCTCATAAAACAAATCTCTCTTTCACCAAAGCATCTGTCAGAAGGGAAGGGAAAACAGAACCTGTGACTGGGCAAAGAGAGGCCCTCCCCGTTGGAAAAAGGAAATACTTTGAGATGTTATCTGTGATATAGATGTGTTAACTAAGGCATGGAATGATTGATTGATTTAGCCAGTTATGAGGCAAAAAATAATCAGAGGGGAATTTGTTCCTTTACTCACAGTCCCTTGGCCTAAAGACTAAGTAGCACTTTCTCCTACACTTGCCATTAGGAAATGCCAAGTCTGCCTGTGAAATGTTAAGGAGTAACTTATATTTCTTCATATTCTTGTTTCCTTAAAATATATACAGGTATGAAAACTTCAAGTCTTGATGGTGGAGTGAAACTACAACACAGCGTCCAAACATTTATTTCTAAGTCACCGTCCAGTGGATTCAGAACTTTTGCATAGCAATAATGGTTTCATTTTCTTTGTGTTTTCTCTTGTAGTCTAAGTTACCACCAATGATGTGATGTCTAACCTTTCTGGCAGGCACATGTTCAGTCTTAAGGAGCTTTAAATTACTTCACAGCTTGAAATTCCATGTAAGAAGGGATGTTCCAACATTTAGCCTAATTGATGCTTTCTTGGGCAGTTTACTTGGATATCTTGGCTCAGTTTCCTCCTCTGAAAAATGGGGAGAACGTCTGTGTTCCTTGTGCTCTTTGATGTAATAATATTTTTACTATACTAAATACTAGGCTCAACACTGCACAAACCCCATGAGGTTTTGTGTTTGTGTCCCTTCAAAGAAGACACAAAAGAGGTCTCAAAACCAATCCCAGGATGTGTAATATTTCTGTGCCAGAGCAGGACTTGCCAGTCAGTAGCTGCCCTATAGGAAAAGCCCACATGATCTTTATGAAGCAGGCAAATAAGCCAACCCAAAGGGTGTGGAAATCGCCTTCTGTACCAAATTTCCAGCTACTTCAAGTTTAGGAGAAGTTGGATAGGCAGAGGGTTCACAGAATTTAGTCTTTAGAATGAAAATGGTAAGCAAGTGATAAAGTAGAAGGTTCATTCCCCTGGGATGACAGAGGCAGGTAGGTATACAGGACAGTCAGTCCAGACTAGAAAAAGATTCGGCAGCAGCAGGGATAAGGCTACAGAACACAGAACATGCAGAACAAAATGGACAAGGATGTTGTCAAGTAGGATTGCAACAAAACTTGGTGTATTTGTTTGAATGTCTCATTATGTGTACAGGTGCAGCTTTACACACCCACACATGCTGCATTTCTTTCAGTGTGTGATCATATAAATGCCTGCAGGTGTGATATGGAAGAGATACCCATGCTGAGGCATGAATATGGAATTCCACATCTGTATTGGCTGCCTGGCTCACACAATGACCTAGTGCAGTCAGTGAGCTCTATTTCCACCTTCTGTATGCACTTTAGAATTAAAAGCAAAGGAAAGTCCATCCTGGTAACTATATTTAACAGGATGTTATAGCATAAAACTAAAATATGTGTATGGAACAGTCATCATTACCACACTGTGTTGCACATTATATACAAAATTAGGACAAAACCAATTTCAGATAAAAATGGCCACATCATTTAAATGTATGGTAATAAATCCATGACATTGGAATTAATGTGTCTTTTGGGACACCTAAAACTTCAGCTGGGCTTCAGTGCAGTGGCTGGTTTCTCACTTCTGGCACACACAGAGATGGCTCCTTGTCTATAATACTGTCAGGTAGTCCATAATCTGTGGGGTGAAAATCATGGCTGCTGCAAAACCAGGGTTCTGAATCCACTGACTTGCTTACAAGTAAAAAAGTCTCAGCCATGGCATTACACTTATACAGCTGGCTTCATTAAACAATAATATGATGCTAACTACTCGACCACAAACACCCTTCTTTCTGTGTCAAAAATGTAAAACAGCTAAGGGATATAAACTGGGGGCAACCTTTTGCATGTAATTGCTGCCTGCAGAGACTCAAGGTTGTCAAAATTTCCTACCTTTTATAAGGCCTTTAGTGATAACTTTTGTTTCCCAAAGAAAAAATAAATCTACCAAAGTTCCTTTGAACATTTCAGCAGCCTTTCATAGTGTTAGCTGTGATAGTAATGGTGTCACATTCCTAATAAGGATGTATATAAACTGTGCTTTAGGAGTCCCTGCTGCTTTCTTTGTGGAAATGATCTCAGATGCTTTAGGATTATTTGGCAGTAACTTCTTTTTGCACCATGATTTCACAGAGATATTCTCTGTTATCTTCTCTTCAGCATATTCCTTTGAAGGTCTAGGGAGAAAATGTGGTGCTCGAGTATTCAGTGAAACCTGGTTTGCATCTCCATCTAGCTAAAGTCTAGGCTGTCCTGTGATAGAAAATGTGAAGGGGCCATAGTGCCCAAAATTCAGCAGAAATTTTACATAGTGTTGTCCAGGCAAAGGAATAATGAGAATATGGTCAATTGAGATTTCATAGGAAGCAAAAGAGGAAAGAAAACACCATTTTTTTTCAGGACTGAATGTCATTGCTTTGCCCAGAGGGACCCCTATGGCTGCCATCCACAGCTGACAATAGCAAATGTACTCTGTGCAGTGACACAGGCAAAGGGAACACAAGTGGCTGGAGCAGTGGTAGAAATAACACTGTGCTAATGAAAAGTTTCGTCCAGGCAAATTTAACTCCCTCAGAATTAGCCTGGATATCTCTCCATGACACATTTGTTTTAGAGTCACAGCATGTTGCAATTTTTAGGCTCTGGCAGGCTCCTATGTAGGAACTATGCCCAAGAGCCTTTATTTCATCTGCTCCAATTGGGAAGAGCATGGCAATTTCTTTTGGTTGAGACTTTGCTATAACAAGCTGAGCTTTAGTCACTGTGAGATTGGCCCTCTGTAAAGCATTCACTTGGTGTTACAACCAGAGACAACTGAGCTCCAAAAGTGAGTGCAGGCTGTGTCTACTTATTAAGTAAAGGAGCATGTAGAGAGCCCATTACTCAGTAATTGGTGCTCGGTGCCAGTTAGCATTCACCAGGACTTCCAGGATTTGTATAGACCTTGCAGCCCAGAATGGCCTGGGATTGTTCTTGCCTTATTTGCTTCCACTATAATCAGCTGGTGGCTCTCTGCTTTGCAGAGCTACCGAAACCAGCTTGATCAGACTGAAAGGCACCTGGAAGTACAGGATGTCCCCAGGGAATTCATCCAGAGGGACGTGCAGGTCTGAGAGACTTTTGTGACTAAGCTTGTGTTCCAGTTTTGTGAGCTTGCAGGTTTCTTCCCCTGCCATGGAAGAGGAAAATGATGATTGGAACTTGTGGTGTTAAAAATGCCTGCCTGATCAAAACCTTAAATAGGTCTTTAAAGATGAGGCCCTCGTGTCTCTTTAGGTGAGCCAAACTGCACTTTGGTATGGGGAGTCTCGAGAGAGTGTGGTAAGTCTTTACAGGAAAGCCTATATAGACTATTTGACAGACACAGCTCTGTGGGGTATATGGCACTTGCAGCTTTGCCGTGGGGAAACCTTTTGTTGGCCATGTCCCAGCTGATGCTGTTGCTCCCGAGGAGGTGGTTTGGTGAGGTTTGGATAGGTGTCCACAGCCCCTGGCAGGGCTGGCGGGCTCAAGCAGCCCACTCTGCTACCCAGGAGCAGGTGGGCCCCGGAATGCAGGGACAAGAAAGGGGCTCCTTCACATGCCTATTCCCTGCATATTGTATTTGTTTATTTATTTGTTGTGTTTATTTATTTATTTACAGCACAGGCAGCATTAGCCCCAGAGGCTGGCAAGGCGGCTGAGTGGATGCAGACGAGCTGCTCTCCCCAAGCGGGCGGACTCTGCCAACACCTGTGAAGTGAAAACCCGTCTGCGCCGCAGGTGAGAAAGCAAATGCCGCAGGGTGCCGCCGCGGGACTGCCGCAGCCACGTCCGCTGCCCCCGCGACGGCGGCCGGGGCCGGGACAGAGCCCGTCGCGGCCCGGGGGCAGAGCCCGTCGCGGCCCCGGGGCAGAGCCCAGAGCCCATCGCGGCCCCGGGGCAGAGCCCAGAGCCCATCGCGGCCCGGGGGCAGAGCCCATCGCGGCCCCGGGGCAGAGCCCAGAGCCCGTCGCGGCCCCGGGGCAGAGCCCAGAGCCC